GAGAGAGAGAGAGAGAGAGAGAGAGAGAGAGAGAGGCATGCTCACAACTGTATCTTCTCTATCTCCTTCTTTCCCTTTTAACCTTTTTCTACACCTTCTCCTTTTCTTTTATATTTTCTTTTCTGTCTCTGTGTCCATTATATTGAAATAACCCCAAAATAATTTCTATAAAAGTTTAAATATAAATCAAGTGGAGAATCATGGTGAAAACTAATGCTGCGCTGGTGAAAGTAAAACTGTCGGGCCTCAGCTTGGTACTCAGATATTAATACTGAGTTTTACACTGCCAGACAGGACACCAAAAAACAAACAAACAAACACCAGCGAGCTTTCTTATTTCATGAAAACATGTTTCTGCAGATTAATCATTCAGATTGTTGAGATTTTCAGGAATGGTCATAAATTTCACACCTAAACACAGAAAACTCCTGTTCATCATCAGCAACATAATTTAAAACCACAAAGCTCAAACAAAAAAAATAAAGGAAAACTCAGCTATTTCTGTAGTTAAAATGTGTCTGTGGGTCTAACGTTTTGGTTGCGCGATAAGATTCTGTAACTTAAACTGTGTGAATATCCTGCTGCAGCTGGCAGCGTTCAGGCCAATCAGACTTTTGTTAAACTTTGAATCAGATTTTTGTCAGGTTGCACAGAAGAAAACAAAATGCAACCAASAAAACAATTACGTACAATCTGAAAAATGGTGGAGCCTTGGAAAAAAATAAATCACGAATGCCTCAAAATTTTCGCTTTTTATTATACTGTACGTTCAAATAAAAAGAGGAAAAATTTTAAAAGAACTAAATTATCAAAAGCCACTGAACAGATGTTTCTGATTTTAGGATAAGCATCAATGAGAGAGACACAAGGTGAAAATACACTTGATTTGATTTGATTTATTTATTTAACAGGAAAAGAATAAAAATCAAGCCTGACTCAGCATAATTGCTGTTTTACAGCAGGTTCCTGTTCTGCAGCACATAAAACACTCAGAAATACAGCATCACAATCACATCATTATACACCATAAACACAAAGACAAACAAGCATACCAAATCTCAGGAAGGCAGCATTTGCAAAATAAGACGTCTAAATATGAGCACAACAAAAAGTGTCCAGCAGATGGCAGACAAGATTCTTCTTAAAGGGCTGTAGTTTTGAAATGGACTTTATGTTTTGAGGAATGTCATTCCATGCTTTAGTATAAACATAGAAGAAAGACCTCTGGCCGTAACAGTTTTTAAAAGTTGGTAATATCAGTTGTCCTTTTGTAACAGATCTAGWTGAATGACCACTTCCAG